CTCCAATCCAATCGCCAACGTGACGGTCCATATGCCAACACACGCAGCCGTGGACACAAGGATACCCATAAAAAGGGTAATGCCGATCCTTCAGATGCTCAGTCCCATCACAAGGCCATCGGACGTCTACAGAAGGACAACGAACAGGACATATACAGTTCTTCCTGTACAATCACCGTCTCGGACGATACGGCAAGCACCACGGTCTCAGGACGATGCGACGACGGGAGTGACGACAGTATCGTCTCACCCCGGATCGCCGAGGCTGCTGCAATCAAAGGCATTGGACGTATCACCAAGATCCGAACCGTCGAGCTCACAGTGGCGCTCAAGGACAAGGCCGAACCGACTCGTTTTTCCTTTTCCCGGGCATGGACCTGCCCGCGCACCGTTCTTCATCTGTCCGCCGGCCAACTTGCCCTCCTCAACATCCAGTATCTCGTCCCGGATGACGATCTCGCTTGTGAGGACCTTCTCATAGGTCTACCAGTCCTTCGTCACCTCAAGGTCGACACCAAGACGTTGCTGGAACAGAACCGCGCCCGTTTGGACGGCACGGACTGTTCACAAGTTGTCGGATCGTCACCCATTGGCAATCTCGGAAACATCGGTCGCCTCATGAAGAACCGTAACGACTTCGACATCGATTCTCAGGACAACGAGGCTCAACTCGATCGCAGGCGTCCAAGGGTCAACTACTACTCCACGCGCATGGAGGAGGACCCTTTTCCAGACCCGTCCCTCATCGATCCGCGCGATGCGGATCAAGAGGCAGACGTCAAATTGGCTATCAACGACATGGTGACAAGGGCGTCAAGGGAAGGACTCGCAGATAACCACGCCCAAGATCTACGGCATATCGTCGACAGTCATTCTGACATCTTCCGAAACACTTTTTCAGCTGGACCTCCTGCCGACGTTCCGCCACTCCGAATCAGACTGAACCACGACGCGCGCCCCGTGCGCGTGCGTTTGCGCAACTACTCCCCGGACCAACGGGAGTTTCTAAAACGACATATTGACGACTTGGTCCGTTGTGGAATGGTGTTTTTCAACCCATCTGCAATTTGGGCAAGCGCACCGCTGCTGGTCCCCAAACCCGGACCTGCGCGTTTTCGCTTCACCGTCGACCTCCGCCCCGTCAACCAGTATACAACAGTCTGTCAATACCCGATGCCGAACTTGGAGGTCGAACTGACCAAGACGTCTGGCAGTCAGTTTTATGCCGTATTCGACCTTTCACACGGCTACTGGCAATTCCCTCTCGCCGAGGATTCCCAAGACTGTCAGTCGTTCATCACACCGGATGGCATCTACACGCCACGCCGTGTATTGCACGGCACTACAAACGCCGTCACGTACCTGCAAGCCACTCTGGCCTCCATCTTCCCCGAATCCCTTCGTCAAAATGTCTTGTACTGGCTCGATGACATCATGTGTCATTCGGCCACCGTTTCCGGTTTGTTGAAAACGATTCGTCAGCTCTTCGATGTACTGTCGAAGCACAATCTCAAGCTCCATCCTGGGAAGTGCACACTCTTTGCCAAGGAGATTCGCTGGTGCGGCCGTCTTCTGTCCGCCGCAGGTATCCGGTTCGACCCCCGCCGAATCGACGGACTGCAACAAATGGCCGAACCTACTGATGGCGCGCAGCTTCAACAATTCTTCTGTGCGCTGCAATGGGTCAAGACAGGCATCCCCAACTTCAGCCGTATTGTCGAACCGCTTCAAAACTTCCTCGAAAAGGTATATGTACGTTCCAACACACGCAAAAAGCGCTCCCTCGCTCGCATTTCACTGGCAGATGTCGGCTGGGACCAGACGGAACGTCAGGCCTTCAAGTCGTGTATAGAAGCCCTAGCTCGTCGTGTCACATTGGCACATCGTGACGCGACGAAACGACTCTGTGTCTACACAGACGCCTCCGACTCACTCTGGTCCGGAATAATGACTCAAGTTCCAACTGCCGACACGACCCTACCACATGCTGAACAACGTCACGAACCGCTTGCCTTCCTCTCTGGTAGGTTCAACACGCAACAAGCCCGCTGGTCTGTACTTGAAAAAGAAGCCTACGCAGTCCTCGCGACCCTTCAACGCATGCACTGGCTGCCAGCTACATCTGCTGGATTCGACTTGTTTACAGATGACAACAACCTGATCTACTTGTTCGATCCACTGTCCATCGTGCCCAATATGTGGCAGACTACACTGCGCAAGGTACTGCGCTGGGCTGTCAGACTGTCCCCATACAATTACACCTGTGTGCACATTCGCGGCACCGACAATGTCTGGGCCGATCTGCTAGGCCGCTGGGCACCACCTCCAACCATCCGCCGTCTCGTCCGTATTCCCGCGTTACCAAGTGCATCGGCTGACGATTTCGAATGGCCTTCTAGCCGCGACATCGCCAAGGCACAAAACGAAACGGCCCTTCCCCGTCCCAAAAATCTCCAAAAGTCCAACGGTCTTTGGCTCACTTCTACCGGTGCGATTTGGATACCCGATGACTCCACAGACCTGCAGCTTCGCTTGCGTATCATCGCCCACACCAGTGCTGCCGGTCATCGTGGCTCACGCACAACAGAACACGTCATGTGTAAAGCCTATCACTGGTCTACTCAGTCCGCCGACATAGGCGAATTCGTCAAAGCGTGCATCCACTGCCTTTCGACAACCGGAGGGGGGAAGATGCCGCGACCTTTTGGTCCGGCTTTTCACGGCACACATCGGAACGACTTACTTCAGTTCGACTACATCGACCTAGGGACCGGATCAGACGGTGCAAACTACGTTCTCATGATGCGTGACGATTTTTCAGACTACAAGTGGTTCTTCCCTTTCGCCGATACGTCTGCAGCGAACGCCGCCACTGCCATCATTGATTGGTGCGCAGCCTTCGGCGTCCCGAAATCGCTAATGTCCGACGGCCCGACGCACCTCAGGAATGAGACGATTCGCCTTGTTGCCAAAGGCCTCAAGGTCCCGCACCACTTCACTCTTCCATATTGTCCTTGGTCCAACGGCGCGGTTGAGAGACTCGGCAAAGAGCTTGTTCGGACCTGTCGCGCCACTTTGTCTGAGCTACAGATGCGACCGGAAGAATGGCCAGACATTTTGCCAATCATCCAAAGCACTCTCAACAACACCCCGTCACGTCACCGCGGAAATGTCGCTCCCATCACAGCATTCCTTGGGACCGACCCGACACCTCCCATCCACACCTTCTTGCGCTCCTCCACAGTTACCTCGATGACTGTCAGCGAAATCCAAGCCGATCATATCCTCAATGTCGACAAGCTCAAAAGTGTAATTGCGGATCTTCATCCTATCGTCTCCGAAAGCCTGAAGAAAAACCGACAAAAGGCCCGTGAGGCCGCATCCCGCGGCGAACTTCCGAAGTTTGAAGTAGGCGATTTCGTCCTCGTCGCCCGAGAAGATTTCTCCTCCAATGAGAAGCTGTGTTTACGGTGGCGCGGACCACGTCGAATCGTGAAAGCATTGTCCGATTACATCTATCTTGTAGAGGACCTGAGGAATGGGACGACGAACGAGATCCACATCGTCCGTCTCAAGTTCTATCACGACTCCAGTGTCAACCAAGAAGCTATCATGTCACAAGTTCTGTCGTCGGAAACAGGAATGGTAGTTTCCCGATTGATGGGAGTCATAGACGAAGACGGCGACCTCAAAGTCCAAGTACGTTGGAAAGGTCTTCCAGATTCCGAGGACACTTTCGAACCACTCCAGCGCATCTACGACGACGTACCAAAAATGCTCCTCAAGCTACTCAGCCGAAAGTCCACTCCTTCGGCGCTGGTGTCTCGCGCACGTCGTACACTTCGCCTCTGATAGGGGGGAGTGTAACCGCGCCCATGCCCGTGGGACTTGGTTATTGTTTCAGAAGCCAAATTGTCTTCCATGCAGGCTCAGCCAATTTGGCATAATGTAGCCGGGCCGCCGCCCGCTTTACTTGGTTTATTGGTTCAGCAGCCGAATATCCTTCCACGCATGTTCTCGTAATTCGGCACAGCATCCTCCCTTGGGAAGGTTCCGCACAGTACAGTAATCAGTCCTCTTTTCTTCTGCTAACAAGCATTTAAGTAGATCCGCCAATAAACCTCGAAGATGGTCTCCATCATCGAAGCACCACCTTTTCCATCAAAGCCAACCGTTTTCTCTTTCGCCCTGCACACCACCAGGTGTGGCAGCACATAATGCCGTCTCCCAATAGTGCCATTTTTGGGGTCTCGCACGGGGCGGCACTAATAGGTAGGGTCCCCTGTACTGTGATTTCTTGAAGACATCTGATGTGAACAGAGTTTAGCGGTGGGGATTGTTTCAGCTCTTTATTAACAGAAGGAAGCGAGAACAAGAATACCGTACACCATTTGTACAAGCTCCTGTTCTTGCGATGAACTGCTTGTGCAGTCACTTGAACATAAACTCGAAGCCCATCATTTAGTTAACGATAATATTGTTGTTACACAAACGTAACAATTAAATGGGAGGTCTGCAAACGGCAGTCCTCTTTCGTCTGACCCGCTTACGGCACGTCAGTGATCTCCGCTTGCGAACGGCAAGTGGATTTTACCGATCGCGGACGCGCGACGCGGCGGGAAGCGGGAAACGCCCGCTGGGCTGAGCAGTACCTGCTCGAAGGCAAACGCAACGGCGCTTGGTGAACGAACAATGTTTAGTCGTAAAATGATAAGATCGATTGTTGCTTTCTACATTCTGTCCGTTGCTGAATGGTAATTTATACTACTGCCCGCATATGCGCGCGAGGCCACTGCGGTTTACCTCCCGCAGCGGAGACTCGGCCAAATTATCTGAGTCTCTGTTGCGTCTCCCGGTTGACATATGACTCCTTAGATTATTCCAAAAACTCTACTGCTGATTTCTTGGCGAAGCGGAACTTTGCTTCGTTCTGAGAAAGTCTCCTTGCAACAACAAATATCACACAGGCCGTAGCTCTGCCACAACCTATTCTGATACAATCACAACCACTTCTTAATAGCCCGGCCAATTCTGCCCGGGACCGACTCCTGTATGAAATGAAATCCCGGAACCGTAACTTCCGTCAGCATAGGCCACTTCCGCACAATCGGCCTGGCAAAAGGCGAAAAGAAGCCCGGCTCAGCGTTAATGAACAACTTTCTAATCTTTGCCTTCTCGAGCCACTTTGAGTACGCACCGATCAGTGCGGTGACATCCGCCGGGTTACCACCGATGGGAATCTGCTTCGACCACGTCAGCATTGGCCTACGCGACTCTCCTGGTTTCAAATACGGCCTGCGGTAGACTGCTTTATCCTTTTCGCTGAAATTGCCTGTACCAAAGAAGGCTTCCTCGATGAGAAAGTTCTCCTGCAGCACCAGTTTCTCGCCCGCCGGGCTCCTCAAGGGGCGGTAGAACTCTCCGCCGTCTGGAAGCTCGTCGAACGAGGGGAAGGGGGCGACAAACGCCTCGAAGAACACGATGGCCTTGACTGCGTTGGGATTATTGCGGTTGTAGTACGCCCACAGAAAGCCTAGAGCGGAACCCCAGTCATGGATGACCAGGGTGACGCGCTCCTTCACGCCGATGGCCTCGAGCAGCGGGAAGAGGTAGTTGGTGTGCTCGACGAAAGTGTAGCGGTTTGGGCCGCTGTTGTCGAGCTTGTCGGAATCGCCCATGCCGATTAAATCAGGGGCGATGAGACGCCCTTTGCCTTCGAGGAAGGGCATGATATTGCGCCACAAGTACGAGGAGGTCGGGGTGCCGTGAAGGAAGACAATGGGGTCGCCAGTGCCGACTTCCACGTAGGCCATGCGCTTACCGCTGATTGTGACATACTTTTTGCGGGTGAAACGGGACGGCCCAGAGTCGCGGCCGGGCTGCGCAAGGGAGCAGAGGCTGAGCGAGAGGAGGAGGAGAAGGGTAGTGAGGAGGAAGTTTAGTCGAAGCATAGCGGATAAGTTGTGGGCGCGTGAGGGGCGCGTGAGGGGCGCGTGAGGGGCGCGTGAGGGGCGCTTGAGGGGGTGATCGAGCTAACGTTGGGGAATGGAAGAAGCCGCACGGGGTTTATATAGATGCGTCGCTGCGCAGGCTGCCAGAGGTGCGTCGACTTATTTTCTTCTTCCAGACTCAAGATAGAATAGAAGAGGAATGCGAACTGCCACAATTACGAACGTTGGCATGGGCTGTCGATTATGTTTCAGGATCTTGTATTGTGTCAGGACTTAATGAGATTTCTCGCCCACGGGTTGGGTGTCATCATGTCGTTGCGATCGATTTGGATCGGTCGGTAGCTGTTTATCGTCAACCAACGAGAGCGCCGCCGCTGTCATCTCCCATCGCTCTTCACACTGAATCTTAGTCGCATGATCATATTGCCTTGTGTCCTCCGTAGAAACAGCCTAATGCTTCGACTTCCGACATAACCCTCCCTACGGTATCTACAGCACCACCCTTGTTGTGCTGTGTACACTACACTTGGCCCGCGTAAGAAAGGCCTTTTCTAATCCATGTACCATTTCGAGGAAGGAAGCTCGGCTCTCCTGCCAATGGCAGAATGTATATTCGAAGGAAAAATCAGCTCCCAATGCCCCATGAATGATCTTTTTGCTTTTCTATCCATCCTTTCCCTCGACCTATGTTCACACGAAGCGAGCTAAACGATGCTGCATTGTCGCTCTGCGTCGTCGCCCCCCGACCCATCCCTGACCGCAAAGTACTGCTCACAGTGGGATATGAGTGAGCGATGTGCATGTGCGTATGACAAGCCCGTTCATGGTGAGCTGGATGAAGCGCGTGTTTTGTTCTTGCGATGCAAAATGCGGCTGGGAGTGACGTGCAGAGAGCTGTTTATCTATTGTGATTGTGGTGAGCGAAATCTCCACCGTTCAAAACGGCAAATGGTTTCTAGACATTCTGGCCAACCCCAAGGAGGCAACACAAACCCACTTCGGCACGATTTCTACTCGTAGAATTATCCATGCGTTAAGCAGAAGCGTTGCATTGTAGATCTGTGTTCATAACCTCTGCATCTCCCACCCTTCCCCCAGGGCTCCATCTTTGCTGGCGGTACAGTTCCACATAACAACTCTTCCTCTCTGGTTGTAAGAAAGGATTAATGAATGCGTTCGAAATGTGATGTAGTTGGTGAACTTTTGTTTGGATATCTCTTCTTTTCTCCACTGGACCATTGATTGACTATCTATTGAAGCGGTAGTTGTTCGTGCCTTTATGCTTTTCAGCTCAACCAAGTTGGTGTACAGGAATATCCACCGACACTACAGTGTACTGGATTTGCAGTGCACCAATCAAAGCCACCGATGCTTTCTGGCTCATCACAACTTTTGTCCCCCGTCATACACGTGTAGATCTACTCTTTGTATCCACACGTGTATGCCGTGTACATTATCTCGCTCGTCATACACGTGTCCCCTATCAGAACCGCACTGCCCGGCGTCGAATCAGCCAATTTATCTCTTTCCCTCTCTTTCCCCCTATTCCTCTCTCCTTTCCCTCCACACTCAGTCCCTCCCCCCTTTCCTCCGCAACCGAGCTTCCCCACTATGATCCTCCCTCTCCCCCTCCTCATCCTCCTCCTTCTCCTCCTCCTTCTCCCCTTCAACCTCTCTCAGCCCCTCCTCCCCGACATCCACCAGCGTCTCCTCTCCCCGCACGACGATCCGCTCTCGGCGGACGACATCTGGGGCTCGCTGCCCCCACCCCACCGCGTCCTCTGGACAAAGTCCAACCCGCACATCCCTCCGCCTATTTCGCTCGCCTCCGCCGTCACGCGCATCACCCAGCTCCTCAGCACCCCCATCCATGTCCCCATCTCCGTCATCTTCATCCCGCCCTCGTCGCTGCCCTCCCAAACGCGCGCCGATCTCCTCCGTCTCGCTCCCGGCATGCGCGCCACCTCGGCCGGCGTTTCTCTCTCCTTCATCCTCTCCTTCGCCACGCCCGCTCTCGTCTCCCGCCTCGCCCTCATGAACAAGACCACGCCCGCCGCCTATCTCCCCGTCCTCGAGCCTGTGGCACTCGCCCACGGCTCGCTCAACACGCTCTTCGTCCTACTCTCGGCGCACCCCTTCTCCCCGCACCCGTACGTCGGTAACTCCCGCCTGGCCATCCTCCCACTCCAGCGCTCCGCCGCCTCCGCCGCCACTTTGCTAGCGTCCGTCGAGCGCGGCGCCTTGCGCGTCTTTGCCCCACCTCCGCTCTACTTCCCGGTCCCGCTCATCCGCACGCTGCACGTCGACTTGTACGCCTACACCCCCTCGTACGAGCACCGCGCCCCGTGGGTCGACACCTTCGCGTGGGACCAGTTCGAGCGTGGCGTGCGCGAGGCAGCCGTGCACGGAAGCAGCGTGCGGTTCTTCTCTGCGCAGACGAATGGCGAGTGCGCGGCGTGCGCGCGGGCGTTCCGGTCGATCAGGAGCTACGACGGGCGTTTCCCGGAGCGGGCCGTGCGCGCGCTCAACGAGGAGCGGATGCCGGGCGTGGGCTGGGAGCGGGAGGTGGTGTCCGGTGCGGGGAAGAGGCGGCGCGCCGCGGATACGTTCCGCGTGTACGTGGTGGACACGGCCAAGCTCAGCAGGAGCGAGTGGCTGCGCAGGCTCGAACGCAGGAAGGTGTGGACGTTCCCGGGCATGGCCGTGGTGGTGGTGCGGTCGGGCGTCGGCGGCGTGGACGGGCTGGAGGCCGTGCTGCTGCAGGCCGTGGTCGGCGGGGTGTACGGCGTGGCCGAGCCCGGGCTGTACATGAACAAGACGGGGCCGGCGGGGACGCGGACGCCGGGCAGACGGCCGGGGCTGGTGCTGTTCGACGGCGTGGTGAGGACGCTGGTGGCGTCGCGCGTGGACGAGGACCTGCGCGAGGTGGGCGCGGTGCTGGAGGGGCTGAGACGGTACGGGATCGACGCCGGGAGGATGCTGGGAGAGGTTGAGTACGCGCGCGTGGTGGAGCGGGTCAACCTGCTGCTGTTCCGCGCGGATAAGGCGCGCGAGCTGGCGGGCGCGGGCGAGATGGCGGGCGCGCTGCACGTGGCGGCGGGCGGGGCGCACGACGTGCGCGCGGTGCGCAGGACGCTCGGGGTGGAGGGCGGCGTGGAACGGCTCCGCGAGGTCGGCGTGCGGTGTCACTTCTCGCGGCTGAGGAGGGAGGCCGTGCGGGCGTCGCGCTTTCTGGAGAGGGGGTGGACGCGAGTCGGCTGGGTGGTGGCGGCGGCCGCGGTGGGGGTTGGCGGAGGGTATGGCGGGGCGGCTTGGCAGGCGCGGAGGAAGATGTGGGGGAAGCGCGAGTAGGAGAGTTGCGGCGATGGGAAGGGTGTGGAATGCGCGACGTGGTTGCGCGACGTGACTTTGGCATGTGTTTACAGTGACGCATTACAGTCGCAGAGGAAGTTATGCGATCGCGGAAACGGACCCTTATCCTCTTCCCGCGTGGAGATCAATTCGTCGGCTCCGCACAAGGCACACCTGCCTGCCCCCATGCCTCCGCCCAACCCCCACCTCCCCCCATGACCGCCTTCCTCTCCGTCTCCGTCCTCCACGGATCCGCCTTTTTTCCCCCTCGCCACCGCCGCTGCACTACCCGCATCGCTTCCAGATGGCGATCTCGACGCCATCTGCGTACGCGCATGTCCGCCCAACCGCCGCCCGTCCCCGACCCACCCGAAGAAGACGCCCTCTCGACGGACCACGACGACGTCTTCGTGCTGGAGGATCACCTCCCCGCCTTGGTGGAGGACGTCCCGCCCAACGTCTGGGCGAGGCTCCCCACCCCCGCGGCCCTGCACCCCACGGCCCTGACGGACGTCGTCATCGTGCTGGCGATCGTCGCCCTGGTCTCGGGGCTGGTCCTCACCACGCGCAACCTGTTTTCCGCCGCCCCGTACTCCTCGCTCGTTATCTCCACCTCGCTGTCCCTCCTCCCGGCGTACGCAGCGCAATCCCTCGTGCGCATGGTCGTCGCCTACGCCTTCTCGCTACTCTTCTCATTGGGCTACGCCTACCTCGCCTACCGTGTTCGCTTCGCGGCCAAGCTCCTCATCCTGCTCATCGACGTCCTGCAGTCCATCCCGCTGCTCTCCTTCCTGCCGGGCGTCGTGCTCGGCCTCATCGCCCTCTTCCCCGACGCCCGCATCGGCCTGGAGCTCGCCGCCGTGTTGCTGCTGTTCACCAGCATGGCCTGGAACATGTTGCTCGCCTTCTACCAGGCCCTGCGCTGCATCCCGACCGACCTCGTCGACGTCGCCAAGACCTTTCGCCTCTCCGCGTGGAACCGCTTTTGGACGCTCGAGCTGCCCGCGGGCGCCGGCCCGCTCGTCTGGAACTCGGTCATCTCCGTCGCCGGCGGCTGGTTCTTCCTCATCTCCATCGAGAGCTTTGAGCTCGGCAACCGCGATTTTAAGCTCCCGGGCCTGGGCTCCTTCCTGGCTGTCGCGGCCGAGACCGCCGACTACCCCGCCATCGTCGCGGGCCTGGTCGTCGTCGTCGCCATCATCGTCCTCATCGACTTTCTCATCTGGCGGCCCCTCATCGCCTGGTCCTCCAAGTTCAACTACGGCAGCGCCCAGAGTGACGACAACCGGTCCATCGTCCTCAGCATGCTCCAGCGCTCCCCCTTTGTCCGCTCCGTCCACGCGAAGCTCGTCGCCCCCGCCTGGGAGCGCTTTGTCAACCTCCGCTTCCCCACCCCCCGCGAAATCAGACCCTACACCAATGGCAACGGCCCCGCGCTCCTCTCGGAGCTTCAGCATAGTTCCTCCCCGCAATCTGTCAATACTCTCGACTCTCTCTCGCTCTTCCAATCTCTTTTCGGCGCCATCTCCCAGACCGTCGTCTCCGTCCGCTCCAGCCTTGCTTCGTTCCTCCCCACCCTCTTGACGATCTCCGCCTTCGTAGCCGTCGCGTACGGCGCCTGGCAGTCGGCCCCTCTCGTCGAGGCGATCTCCTCCCAGCAATGGCTCACGCTCGCCACTTCCGCGCTCGCCACGTTTGCCAGAGTCGTCGCTGCGCTCGCCTTGTCGCTGCTCTGGACGGTGCCCGCCGGCGTCGCCATCGGCCGCAATCCGCGCCTCGCCGCGAAGGTGCAGCCCATCGTGCAGATCGCCGCGTCCGTGCCTGCAACCGCTTTATTTCCGTTCATGCTGCTGTTTCTGGCAAGGTTGGGGGGAGGGCTTCAAGTGGGCTCCGTCGCGCTTATGATGCTCGGCACCATGTGGTACGTTCTGTTCAACGTCATCGCTGGCGCGCAAGCAATTCCGGCAGAGCTGTTTGAAGTCGACTCCATATACAACAAGGACGGACAGTGGACGCGCTGGCGCACGTTGATATTGCCAGGCATCTTTCCCTACCTCATTACGGGCGTCGTCACAGCCGTCGGGGGGGCCTGGAATGCTTCCATCGTGTCAGAGTATGTCGTCTTTCAGGGAGGTGTTATGAAGACGCACGGCCTTGGGTCGCTCATTTCGGAGGCTGCCGCGACGGGAAATTACGGACTCTTACTCGCAGGGACCGTTGTGATGAGCTTGTTGGTGCTCTTGACGAATAGGTTCGTTTGGGGGCCGTTATACAAGCTTGCGGAAACAAAATACCGGATCTGATTATGCAGTTTGAAATCTTGATTTTCGAAAAGAGCTTTCAAAGCAAGCAGACAAGGGTATATCGTTGTTGACAACGAGCGAGTTTCAAGACGCCCTGATAGAAACCACGGCTCGGTCGCACCTTTTTTATTATCGTTTCGCATGATGGATACGAGTGTGGACTATTTCTAGTCGGATTTCATCGGAGGTGTAAGATATTTTTACTTAGACACGACTCACGACGTGTCCCAGGGCTTTATGCTCATCTGCACCCAATCCAGCGACCAGTCCCTCCCTCTTCCATGAGGTGCTCTGCTGCAGCAATCTTTTCGCTAGAAGAAATCGCAAGAAAGACGGCGGTGGAAGATGGAATCCTGAGGGGGGCGGGGGAGAATGAAGATAATGTTGCGTTTAGGGGGGCGATCAGGTGCATTTCGGTGGCAACAGACGGGTGAAATCGAAAAAGGTGCGCCCCCCTAAACGCAAAATCTCCCGAAAAGAAAATTAATGTTCATCGTTTCCTCTCAATGCATGGATGAATCTATACAGTAAAGTACACAGGAATCGTGCAGAATTGGGTTTGTGGTAAAATTACTTACAGTGGGTCCTGCGCATTAGTGCCGCTTTTATTTGTGCCACCCTCCCAATAGTGCAGGCCCCACGCACGAACACGAAGAAGTGCCACGTGTCATACGGTTCCGGCTATAATGCCATCAGTGACACCATGGATGTTTTTGAGACGGTTCAGGTGGTGCAGAACCGCCTGAAATGCGATCAAGTACAATTGAGAGCGCAGAATATGCAATAGAAAGACTATACTGCTGTAGATAGGGTTATGTGGGAAGTCGAAGCATTAGGCTGTTTCTACGGAGGACACAAGGCAGGCGGTGTGCACGGGGTCACCACGCAGCGGACGAAAGCGTGACGTCATCCGTCGACCAGTGCGCATGTATGCACTACATCAGTAATAAATTGTTGCCTTCGTGGGATCGAATCGATCGTTGCTACCGACCTCCAGGTCAAATGGCCTCATATGAGGTCATTTGTCACCTAGACACTAGGCGCGTGAGATCTCCCCTCCGTAGTCGTGTACATCGGTGACTCATATGCCGCACGGCAAGGCCGTTCCCTACCGAACAATATGAGCGGAACATGTCCGTTTGTCATGGAGTTCCTCCCGTCGCTGCTTCGACCAGTGAATGAGTGAAAACGGACAAATAAATCTCACCGTTTGGACACTTGGCTCCACGCAGTTGGCTTGGAGAGTAACGATCGCGTCCCCCTCGCGAGATAGATCCAGTCGACGATAGGTTCGAGGGTTTGGCACACTGCGCTGTACAAACGGGCGATATGAGCGTGAAGCGCGATCGGAGATTGACAGCGGCGGCGCTCTCGTTGGTTGACGATAAACAGCTACACACCTGTACCGATCTAAATCGATGGCAACGACATGATGGCACCCAACCCGTGGGCGAGGAATCTCATTAAGTCCTGACACAATACAAGATCCTGAAACATACAGTAGTCGACAACCCATGCTAACGTTCGTCATTCCGCTTCCATTCTATCTTGCGTGATTGCATGATTGCCAATCACGATGAAGGGAATGGCCCTGAGTCTGGAAGAAGAAAATAAGTCGACGCATCTCTGGCAGCCTGCGCAGCGACGCATCTATATAAACCCCGTGCGGCTTCTTCCATTCCCCAACGTTAGCTCGATCACCCCCTCAAGCGCCCCTCACGCGCCCCTCACGCGCCCACAACTAATCCACTATGCTTCGACTAAACTTCCCCCTCACCACCCTTCTCCTCCTCCTCTCGCTCAGCCTCTGCTCCCTTGCGCAGCCCAGCCGCGACTCTGGGCCGTCCCGTTTCACCCGCAAAAAGTATGTCACTATCAGCGGCAAGCGCATGGCCTACGTGGAAGTGGGCACTGGCGACCCCATTGTCTTCCTTCACGGCAACCCGACCTCCTCGTACTTGTGGCGCAATATCATGCCCTTCCTCGAAGGCAAAGGGCGTCTCATCGCCCCTGATTTAATCGGCATGGGCGACTCCGACAAGCTCGACAACAGTGGCCCAAACCGCTACACTTTCGTCGAGCACACCAACTACCTCTTCCCGCTGCTCGAGGCCATCGGCGTGAAGGAGCGCGTCACCCTGGTCATCCATGACTGGGGTTCCGCTCTAGGCTTTCTGTGGGCGTACTACAACCGCAATAATCCCGAAGCGGTCAAGGCCATCGTGTTCTTCGAGGCGCTTGTCGCCCCCTTCCCCTCGTTCGACGAGCTTCCAGACGGCACAGAGGAGTTTTTCCGCCCCTTGAGGAGCCCGGCGGGCGAGAAACTGGTGCTGCAAGAGAACTTTTTCCTGGAGGAAGCCCTCTTTGGTACAGAAAATTTCAGCGAAAAGGATAAAGCAGTCTACCGCAGGCCGTATTTGAAACCAGGAGAGTCGCGTAGGCCAATGCTGACGTGGCCGAGGCAAATTCCCATCGGTGGTAAGCCGGCGGATGTCACCGCACTGATCGGTGCGTACTCAAAGTGGCTCGGGAAGGCAAAGATTAGGAAGTTGTTCATTAACGCTGAGCCGGGCATCCTTTCGTCTTTTGCCAGGCCGATTGTGCGGAAGTGGCCTATGCTGACGGAAGTTACGGTTCCGGGATTTCATTTCATACAGGAGTCAGTCCCGGACAGAATTGGCCGGGCTATTAAGAAGTGGTTGTGATTGTATCAGAAGAGGTTATGGCAGAGTTGCCGCCTGTTATCGTTAACTAAATGATAGACTTAGAGTTTATGTTCAAGTGACTGCACGAGCAGTTCATCGCAATAACGGGAGCTTGCACAAATTGTGTACGATATTTCGCGTTTTCGCTTCCTTTTGTTAACAAATGTAAGTTCGAGAAAAATGTGATGTGTACCTTCTTTTGTCTGCTCAACGTACCCCTCAAAATTTCGCAGAAGTGGAGTTTGTCTGTGCGAAGAAACAGTGACAACTTTTTGCACCCCTGACCCGCATACACTGTATGCTTGCCAATGCTGGCTTGTGTGAAGTGGTGGCGAAAGGGGAGAAGAACGTGCGTTCGAACGGGCGCCTCCAGTTCCGGACATTTGGCAATTTAAAAGAATACGTGCCATTGTAGTTCGTTGAACGAGGTTGTTCTTGTAGTGGTTGAAGCAATTACCCTGTTCACAATAGCAACCTTATGGCGGGACTTTTCTGGCAACAGGATGTACGCATATTGCTCACTGTGCCAGGGTCATGATCTGTAAGGACAATGGGATTAGGTGCGTTTTTCAAAGTTATGTCACTGGAAATTACTTCGGAAGGCTAACTGTTGACTTGAATGGTATTGTTGGAGCGAAGAGAATAGTCTTTCTCTATTCGAAGATATGCGATTGAAGATAGTGTAGTCAGCACAGCGGCGGATCGTTGTGGTGGCCACCTCGGGTATATGATATGCAGTCCCGCAGTGTCTCAGTCTCTATGCGATATACTTGTTTCGTAGAGCAGCAACTTCAGTCCCGTTTTTACACATGCGCGGTTTCTATTTGCCGCACATTTAGCCGTAGTAAGGCCATGTGCCTGTTGAATAGCAGAGTGGAGACATGTACAGAGCTTAACTCTGAAAACAGAAAGAGTGATTACAGTCACTGCTTGCGCTCGGGAGGGGTGTGAGAACGGTTCATGAAGTTCAGGTGTAACCTCTAGTGTCTAGACGACAAGCGATTTGCCTCATATGAGGCCGCTTTTTGCAAAAAGATATACATTAGCGTTGTCCATAACATAACGCGTTGTTTTTTTATACATATATACATTAGCGTTGTCCATAACATAACGCGTTGTTTTTTTCCATTTGCCCACAAACTCGCTGGACGTAAAGTAACCCCGAGTTTGAAAAATCCCACCGGGAGTTTTGCGGACTGACCTCCAGCAAGGTATACCGGCCCGCAACAAACGGAAGTCTGATATATCGTTGTGTGGCCCAACGGATCACGTGCACCTGCATGACTACTTGCTGAAGCGACCATTGTAGGTCGCCACGAGGATAGAAAGGTTCTCAGTCGAAAGGATAGAAAAGTTCTCAGTCGAATGGGCGATGTGTTTCGTCTTCTTGACAGGCTGAGGGGGGGGGGGGGGGGGGGGGGGGGGGGGG